TTTTGGCACAATTTATAGAGACTTCCGGAACACGTGTTGGCCGTCAGTCGCACTTCCGGTCGCGCACTCAAGTCGTGTCCCAATTCGCGGATGTGTTGCTCTAAATCCAGTTCTTTGTCCACAACCGGCAGATACAGAGTGAGGGGTCGTCTCTGCCATCGCTCGCGACGGCGTCTGTCGTCCGCGTCGTCCTCTCCGTCGTCTGCGTCGCCGTCGAAGGCCTCGCTCTCCGCGAGCGGCGCTGTGGGCGGTCTGAGGGGGCGTCTCCTCCGCCGCTCTTCCGTCTTGTCTTCGATCTGTTTTCGGACGCTTTGCAAACACTTCTCGAGTTCCGAGAGTTTGATTTCGCGCTCAATCTTCTGGAACTCTCGCAGATCGTCGTCCACTTCGTCGTCGCTGTCGTCGCGCGTGTCGTCCGTCGCCGACAAATACGTCATTTCCGCCGACACTAAGCGCTCCTCCAATCGGAGCGCGTCTAACGTCTCGCAACTGCTGTCGTCGTTGCGGTCGTTGGCGTCGCCGCTGTTGTCGTTGCTGTCGCTCTCACGCGACTCTATTGTCGACAAATCCGACAGTTCTGATGACCGGTTCCAACAGTCGTCGCCCGAAGAGCGAGCGTTCGCTGCGTTGTTGTTGAAGAAGTCGCACAACAGAGCGATCTCTTTGAGTCTCGCGCTCTCCCGACGGCACTCCTCCTGAGCGGCGATTCGCGCGCTCTTTATGGACGACAACTCCGACGACAAGTCGTGCAAAAGTGTCGCCGAAGACGTCATTCAGTCTTCAGAAGACGTCTTCAGACGCGAGTATTTGAGCGATAAGTAGAGGAAAAGTAAATAAACAAAACTCGAGTCCAGAGAAGACGTCGGCCGCCAACACATTGACGCCTATGAGAGGGGGCGAGGAGTCTATGCGGACGTCGTTTGTGGCCAACGAGTGACAGCACTTCGTTGTCGTGACAACAGATGTCAGCATTGATTGCATTCAAAGACAAAATGAATGAAAAAATAGAGAAATTTTGCGAAAAAAATCGGAAATTCAATGAATTTTTGGCGAATATTTGCGAAGAAATGGAAATTTCGGACCTTTTCTGCGATTAAACGCGAAATGAGTTTCAAATCCGGGAATGAATTCAAACATTAATTGCGACCAAAAGTCGACGAATTGTGAGACAAAAGCCGTTAACTGTTCGCCAAATCGCGACCCGAAGAGCGCCGCCGACGAGAAGAAGCCGCCGACCGATAGGCAGCCGACGGACCGGCGGGACAGAGGCGGCCAACGCGACGACGAGATGCGACGCGTTTACATCCGCGCGCCGCCCAATAGACACGTCTCTGACATAAAGTACGCGAACAACAGATGACCCGAAGCCGAGACGACTGTCCGCTCGACCGCCCGATGAGGCCACGGGAGGCCCCGCCCGAGTGGCCGCCGCCGCCATCGCGTAGACGCGTCGCGACGGCCGCCGCGCGCCTCCGCCGACGGCAAACCCTTTTTGGACGCCATTTGTCTTCGGTTTCCGATTTTCGGACATTTTTTTCACTCATTTTTGTATTGAATTGAAACGAAATGCGAATAAAAGTGTAAATAATCTGCGATTTCGGCCAAAAAACGGTCGTCTCCTGCGGCGCGCGACTCACTCGACGTCATTGATTGGCGGCGCCATTGATGACGACATGACGTCAGGTGTCGTCTCTCATGACGTGTCAGTCGTTTCAATGGTTTTCAAAATGTCTGTCAAAACAGAGTTTTGTTTTTGAGTGTCGTTTGGGCCGAAGATTGGGAAGCAATGGATCCCTCGGACACGACTCCCGCCGCCTCCGTCTCTCTGGCCTGTTGTCAGTCTCTGTGCGATCTGCTGAAGGAACTGCCGCTCCCGGGGCCGACGCTCCCGACGGCTGACCAGTGCTTGAGTGCGCGCAACAATCAACTGATTTGCGAGGATCTGTCGCTTCTGGACGGACAGCTCGAGTCGGCGCTCATTGCCGCCAAACAGCAGTTGCAGGACTTGGTGTTTGTCGACGCCGTGGTCGCCCCTTCCGTCGTGGCGTCGTCGCCGATGTCGCCGCTCGCTCTGCAACTCTCGCTCAAAGGCCTCTTCTGGACGACCGGCGTCTCCGCTGCGAACAACTGTTGGCCGGAAGCCAACTCTCTCGAGACGATCGAGCCGTCCATTCGGACGCAATTGGAGTTAACGGAGAACTTGAAACTCATAAACGAGTTGCAGAACGACTGCAACGACGCGGACGTCAAGTATTTCCAACACAACGACTGCAACGAAGACTCGTACTCTTCGTTGGGCGAGAGAGTGAAGAGTCGTCAGCGACAGCACAACCACTCGTCGGCGTCGCAGGACGTGGTCATCGTCCCGCCCGTCGTCCCCGAAGACAGTGTCGTGTCGTGTGTTGTGCCGCCGGTCGTCGTCGTCGAGTCGACGCCACGACAAGAACGACAGGAACGACAGCCAAAGGCGACGCCGAAAGTGACGCCAAACCGAAGCCATAATTCGCACAAAAGTCGCAGCAATTCGACGACGAATCACAGCATTAAAGACAACATTTGCCACGACTTCCAAAACAAAGACAGTTTAGTGTCGTTTGAGTTCATTCTCAACAAACTTATGAGTGATTGTGTGGACGACGACAACGACTCGACGGACGACGACGACGACAACCGCCACCACAAGAACGACATGTCGTTCGACCTGAGGATCGATCTCAAGGAACTCAATGCTCTCATGTCGTTGTCGTCCAAACTGAAGCACTCGAACCGTATGAACGACTTGGAGGGCAGGATGTCATCCAAACTGTCGTCCTTTCTGTCGCTCCTAACCAACAAAATGACGGTTTGGTTCTCGAAGTTCAAGGAGAACGAGGAGTTCCTGTCGTCGGACGACACGAGTATGTCGTCGGACGACAACCACTACTGGCAGCTCCTCATCAACGCCTCGAAAATGGCGCTCAACATCATGACCTCCAAAGGCATGTCGTCGCGCGTCGTGCTCTTCGAGGAGCTCCTGGAGATCATCATTAACTTCCTGTCGCATAATCTCAACTCCAAGACTCACGTGAGCGCCGCCAAGACGTCGCCCTCGAAGAAGAAGTCGTCGGCCGTGTCGGCGACGACGACGGCGACGAAGCGACAGGTGACGCATTGGGCCGAACTGCTGGAACTGCTGCGCGAGTACCTCACGCGCAACCAGTCGCTCAACGACTCCATTGTCCTGATGTGCACGAGAATCGCGATGTCGTCGCTATTGTTGAACGCGTCGGAAATGCAGTCTTCGGCCACTCCCATCATCGCCCACATCTTCGCGCATTACGCCAAACACCGCGCGAGTATTCTCGAGGAACTCCTGCAGCAGTTTCCGCGCATTCCGCTCCACCCCTCGCGCCACCACTCGGACCGCGCGCTCAACCCCTTCACGCGCCTCCTCATTGCGCTCACGAACGCGTTGTACGCTCAGGGAGTGGACGCGCGCGCGAAGATTACGCGCGAAATGCTGACAAAGCAACTGACGGAATGCCTGCAAGTGATGTCGGGTTTCCTGTCGTCGTTCACGAAGCGCTGTCTGGGCGGGGCTTCCGGCGGCGACACTGACGTCAAGGCGTTCTTCGCCGACGTGTTGTCGGACTTGCTGTCGTCGCTCTTCTCGCCGCCAACAATCACCGCTCTCCTCCTCATCCAAATCCAGACCAAACTCCTGATCACTTATTTGGCGCAATCGGCCAAACAGACGGCGCTCTCCACGCGCTTGAATGCAATCGAGTTTTTGGCCGAAATCTGCTCGACGTTCGCGCGACTCTTCGCCCAAAAGGACGACATTCGCGACGACGCGACGACGACTCTGCAGCAGCTGTTGGGACGACGCGGCGACGCACGAGACGACAGCAGACGACCGAAAAACGACCAAACGCTGCAAATGCTTCGACTGCTCAACGAGTTCTTCGGCGAAGAGAAACTGTTGGCCGAAAAACTCATTTTGGCGTCGCTTTGGATGAAAGAGAAGCCCATTCAGGACATGGAGACGCAATACGTGGCGCTCTTGAACTCGCGGGAGGCGCCGCCGCCAGACGCGGAGGCCATCGACGCGACGACCGCCGAACTCTTCGTCAAGACGCTTGAACTGAACGACTTCGCGACGTTCTCGCGACTCTTCGACGCCTCTCTGTCGCACGTGACGTCATCGCTGTCGTTGACGCAAAACACGACTCAGAGGTCGCGCGCCATGAAGTCGTTGTCGCAGATTCTCGTCAACTGTTCGCTCGAGAAGTCGACGCAACTGTTGGCGCGCTCCGACCTGCAGGTGGCGATGCGGTCGGCGCTATTGGACGGCTCGACGTCCGTTCGCGAGGCGACCATCGATCTCATTGGCCGCTTTGTCCTCCAATCAAAGTCTCTCGAGTTGTGCGACAAATACTGCGATCTCATTGGCGAACGCATTCTCGACACCGGCGTCTCAGTGCGCAAACGCGTCATCAAGATCTTGCGCGACATTTGCATCCAGTTCCCCGAATTCCCGAAATGCGGGGAAATCCAGCTCCGGGTGATTAAGCGCGTCAACGACGAGGGCGAAGGCATTCGCAAACTCGTGTTGGAAGTCGTGCGCGACCTCTGGTTCCGATCGCTGAACGACACGACAGACGACGCCGTCGTCTCCTATAAAGTCAAGTCTCTGTTGCACGTGATCTCCGTTATGCTGCAAACCGACGGTTCGATCGACGCTTTGCAACAACTCATGGAAAACATTGTGAACGCAGAGTCCGAAGTCCCGCAGAGCGCGCAGACAATCGTCGACTTCGTGGTCGCGCGTGTGCTCTGCGCGCCCGACGACACGACGACGACAGCCAACGACAGGTCGCGCGCTCTCCTAAACCTGGCGGCCATCCATTTGGTGGCGATCTTCGCGCGCATTTGCCCCCAACTTCTCGTCAAACACTGCGACTCTTTGCAGTCATTGTTGTCGCTCTCGTGCGACACTGTCGTCGACATTCATCTTCGCAATAAAGTGATCCAATCGTTGGAACGCATTCTCCACAAAGTGCGCAATCCTTCGCCACAACTCATGACGCGATTGGAAGAAGACCTCACGAAACAGATCCTCCAGTCTTCGGCGCTAATCCTGCCCTCGAGCGTCAAATGCCTATCAGTTCTCATCACAACTCACACTCAAAACCACAAATTGTCGGCCGATTTGTTCCACAAATTCAAACAGATTTTGGTCTCGAATTGCGGTCAAAACGCGTCGAAACCGAAACTCTTGCGTTCCGTCTATTCTTTGGGGCTTTTCGTCAAACATTTCGCCAAATCCGTTGACAGCCAATCAAAACAACTCGTTTTGGACCACATTCTCGCTCTCATCCAATCAAATATGGCGAACGGCGTCCAACACGACAACCAAGACGTCATCTGTCGCTGCATTACGTCATTGGGATTCATCGTCGAGTCGGACCCCAAGATCTGTCTGCAGCGCCGCGTCCACGACCTCTACAGCCATCTCCTCGCCGACGGCTCTCCGGAACCGCTTTGCGTTCAAGTGCTTCAGAATTTCCGCAATTATCTCAACGACAGCCTCGAGAGCGACGAACGCGCGAACGCCGCCATCGAGTGGTCACGTGAGTCGCTCAAGACCATGACGTCAGAGGACAGCGACTCGTCGTCCGTCCAATCGCAGATCATTCAGCAATACCTCGCGCCGCTATTGGACCGCGCGTTGGCCGCGTCTGTGCACATCCGTCGCGTCGCCTGCAACGTGATCCACGTGATCCAGTCGGGCGGTCACGTGCATCCCCTGCAACTCGTGCCGCATCTCATCGCCATGACCACCGACGACGACCGCGACATCCGCTCGCGCGCCGACCACGTGCTGCACGAGATCGAGCGCAAGTTCCACGGCTTCGTCGCCATGAAGGCGCGCCCCGGCATCCTTCTGGCCACTCAGCTGTGCGCGCGACTCCGGTGTCGCGGATTTCGGCTGCTCGACGACAACTCCGGTGACGTCACCTCCCGGTTGGCCACTCTCTATCACGTGGTCGCAACCAATCGCCAGTCGCGGCGCGGATTCGTTCAGCAATTGTTGCGCAACTTCGACGTCAACTCGAGTCAAATGGACGCCGCGGACGACACGGAGACGACGGACGCTACGACAGAGACGACAGCGGCGACGGACGACACGACAGCAGACGACCGAAACGTTCAATTGGTGTTCGAAATGGTGCTCTTCTTCCCGTTCACGGTTTGCGACGAAATTCTCTACATTTTGCAGCAATTAGAGTGCATTCAGTCCGTGAACTCGACGCACACCTCTCAGCTCTTCACCGAACTCTTCGGCTTCGAGTCGGAGGAAGCGATGGACGAAAAGTTCGACGACAACTACGACACGTTCGCCGCGGAGCTGCGCGAGGCGGCCGACACCATCGCGTGTCGCCAACAGGTGTTGCGCCAAATCGCGCGCTCTTTGCGGCGACTCTTTTTGGTGGCGCTTTTGCGGAAACTCTTGAAAGAGTTTTATTTGATAAAAGACGAGAAGATTCTCGAGTATTCGCCAAATGAGGCCAAAACGTGGGAAAAGCCTATTCACAGGCGACAGGTATTCACACTTCGTTTGCTCCCATTCCCAGACGTAGAGCTCATTCCTCTCTCCCACAGATCGAGGCGTCCAATCTGTGCGAAACGCTGCTGCGCGCCAACCCGTCGATTGGCGCCGATTCGCGCATCGAAGACCTGCTCGAAGAGTTCAAACGCTTCAAATCCGTGTCCTTGACCTCCAACGACCCTCACGTGACCAATCAGCTCATCCAACAGAAGCTGTTTGTCTTCAAGAAGACAAAGACGACGCCGAACGACATCCAGAAGGCCTTCACGATCGACAGCAACAAAGTGGACGACAGGACGACAACGACGACGTCGGCCGACGACGAGCTCAACGAAGGCGAACGCAAGCGTCTCCTGGAGTCCATTCGGCGGACGTCGTGTCACGTGTCGCTCATCGACATCGGAATCCCCGAATCGGTGACCAATCAGATGTCGGCGCCGCCGCCGAAGCGCAAGACGAGTCCAAAGCGCGCCAAACGGAAGAGAATTCGCGTCGAAGACGACTCGAGTAGTGATGAGCGGACGTCGAGCGACGACTCGCGCGACGACGACGACGACGACAGACATTAACGCATTAATTATTAGACATTTTGTACAAAATCTCGTAAAATATTTGTAAAATTGAATTAAATTATTAATAATTAAACTTTATTTCGAATAAAAAGTATTTTTTATTTTTTTGGTTTATTTACAACTATTTTATCACTTGTTTTGCATTCAATCGTAACTCAACTCAGAGTTCGTTGACCCCAAGTGAGAGGAATGACCCATCAGTGGGCCGGAAGCGCCCGAAGATGAGAACTCGCGTCCGTACTCTCGGCCGCCGCCGCCGTTGCCATAGAGACCTGAGAGACAACACGTGAGACACAAACAACACTCGAGACCGGACTTACCGTCGAAGAGCTGCGCGTAAGGCGACTGGAACTGCGGCTGCGATTGCGGTCTCCACTGCGGCTGCGCGTTGTGCTGCTGGCCAAAGAGCGGCGATCGCACGGCCGACGCGTACTGCGACTGCGCGGCCGCGAAGAGCGAGTCGTGTTGCGGGCGTTGAGGCGCCGACTGTTGTTCTGTTTGTCCGATAAGAGAGTTGACAACAGATCCCAATCCGGCGCCCAATTGGAAGCCGTTGGGAATGAGTTGACCCAAAGGTCCGCCGATTTTGATGCGCGGGTATTGCGAGGACTGGCCGCCGGACTGTCCACTCCCGGTCTGCAGCACTGGGAGCGAGAACTGCGCGCCGACGGAGACGACAGTCATGAGAGCGGAGAAGAGCGCGACTTTGAACTGCATTTCTGGCGATTGTGTGAACTCTGAGTTCGCGTTGACTTCGCTTTATATTTGGCCCGAAATTGGGTCTCAATTGTGACCCAAATCTCTATTTTAAGACGATTTCAATGTCTTCTCGAAACTAAACCAAAGTTCAAGAACTCTTGTGGCAGTTGTGGCGCCCTCTGCGGGCACTCCCACTCGAGCACTTGGGGTGGAGGAGGAGCGGTCTCGAGCAGAAACCTGTTGACTGACAGGACGTCCCGCCAATGAGAGGATTCCCCTCCGGATCTGCAATCGACTGATCCGTCCGTCGAGTGAGTCATTCGTGCGAAAGGTGTGGCATTCAGTCATTGTCTTCGCGCCAACAATACATTCCTCACTACAAGTAGACTAAGAGAGACGACAGACGACCCAAAAGACGACAAACAATGAGTTCTCCGAAAGCAGAAGACTTGCCGAAGCCGTTGACGAACCCTTTGGCGGCAGAACTGGTGGCCGAACACCAGTTGCGTCCGACGGCCACCGAAGAGAAGGTGGTGTTGCC